GCCAAATATTCTGGTTATTGACTAATTTATAAGGTCCATATTTGGTCTTCATTGCAAACATGTTTCTCTTATCAGGTATTATTTGTCCTATTTTCTGAAAACAAGTAAAACATTGCTTTTTTGAGTTCTGCTTGTTTGATGATGAGAGATAATTTCTTCAAAAAATCTGAAAACACAAATTGATTTCAAGTTACAATTCTGACAAAGTAAAGCAGCCAGTATTGCTGGTAGAGTACAGTATGAACCTCTAAACTGATAATAAAACTGAGACAGTTTGAAGGGGTGAAAACATGTTTATGATGTGTGTCTGATAAACTGCTGCCCTCTAATGTTGAATTATAAGAATTACAAACACAATAGGATTTTATTTTTACACTTTTTAGACGTTTACTTTTGTTTTTCTCCTCAGGGAGACTTGAATACAGGTCAACAGAAACTCTTCTCTTGCCAAAAACCAAAGGTCTAATAATGAAGAGATGAGAAGTCAGAGGTCACAGCAGGTTGGCAGCAAACGGAGCAACTTCTTTGACTATAAAAACAGGGTAACAAAGAAATGACAGCATAAAAATAACCAAAACCAAAAATCTGATTAAAAATCCTTCTCAAAACACCAGTATTGGTGTGTGTGTGTGTGTGTGTCTGTGTGTTGCTCTCACATTTACACTGGCTGCCAGGTGATGACTCAGCGGCCTGGCAAAACCTTTTCCAGCCCGGCAGGAGGCACTGACCTGTTGCCACGGTGACGGCTCAGCTCAGGGAGCCCAGGCTGGCTCTGAGTACGCCCCAGCCGTTTGAGGACGGTGTCTCCCGGGAGACAAAATGCTAAAACAGACACAACGGAGGAGAAGAAAGATGGGTTGATTGTGAGTAAAAATCTGTGAGGGTTGCTGCTTCTGGGACTGTTCGGGGAAAAAATAAAGTTAACAAGTTGTAAAAGCTTTTGTTTTAATACCTAAATGTTTCTTTTTCTGGGAAAGTGACCTCACAATGTTCAGAAAATGACATCAAACTCAGAAATAAAACAAATTATATGTTATTATATAGAATTACATGACATTTCACATACATTTACATACATTTTAAGTCAAATTAGAGGTGAAAATATGATACATATATACACATTTTAAAGATGATTATGTATCAGATAAAAAATCTAAGACTATATTAACCACAAAAAAACTCCTTCACATTCTGCTTATTATATTATTAAATAAAATATAGGAAATTGATCAAAAGTACTCTAAATTAGTTTAAAATTAGGACATTTAACATCAAGATTAGAGGTCAAAATATTAATTTTTCTGTAAGATTCAATAAGCTTCTTGATAATAACTTCATCAAAATTATGTATCAGATGAAATTATGACCAGAACAAATCAAAAACGTATATTTTAAAAAAATAAGATTTTCAATCATTTCTTTTCACATACAAGTCTTTATTTCTGCAAGTAGAATAAAGGAAAGGGATAAAAACAAAGGTTGGATCTCACTCTTTATGGTCAAAATTTTGACATAATTAAAAAATTCAGCTTTTTAAGTTATAATCTTGAGTCATAGGGTTAAATTTATATGATAATACGTAACTTAACTCACTAAAATGACGACTTTGTATATAATTCTGTTGATTTATGATTTCATTTATAATTGTTTATACAAGAGGTCTCACTCCTGACTGGCTGACAGATGAATGAAGAGAGAGAGAGGACTGATTTCCAGTATCTCTGGTTGTCTCTCGGCCCGTTTCTCTGCACAGAGTTTCAGTGTTTGACGCGAACAATGAGACGATCTGTAGTCGTCCGCGTGAGGAGTGTATTTATCAGCAGACAAAGACGCAGTTTATCATGTAATAAACGGCTCTGTTCTCCAACTGAAAATACAAAGAGTGGAGGGAGGTCGGAGGTCACGGAGGGCGAAGTCATCTGGGGAATTCAGCACATTGTGGAGATTATCGATGTGATATTCAGAAGATATACCTGCTCTAGCATTATGGGATGGTCTTAAGTTCAAAAGCTACATCCCAGATCCATTCAGTATTCAATAAGAGATCTATAGATCCATAGAGTAAATACTCTCTGCTGTTTGTGGCTTTTCAGCTCTCTGATAAATGGACCTAAAATGTGAAATATAACAAAGTGCATGACATTTATTTTGAAATTAACTTACATACATGTATTCCAGTGTTTTTAGGGGGCTTTATCCAATATGCTGTAATCCGATAATTGCTATCTAATGAGCCCAATACAATACATATCAATGATGTAATGCAGGTTTTACCTACTCTCACTGTACAGAAAACAGAGCAAGCACTCCTGGTTGCATCCACATTCAGCACAAATCTTAACTAAATAGTCAAAAAAATTCAAGTCAGTCTTTACATTAAGTGTGAACCTATCGAGATTGGTTTTTTACAGCCAACAGCGGTGACGTACTGCGAGCTGCTCTTCATCCCGCTGGCTAGTAGCTCAGTCAAACGAGCAATCTGGATCTCATAATCCCTGATCAGCACTGTTTTAACAGTTTGATCTGGTTTGGTGCGTTGAAAATTGTGACGTACCCCCTCACTGAGATGGAGCTGTCAATCACCAAAGGTAGCCCCGCCCTAAAGCAATCCCTTGCTTTATGGGTCTGTTTTACTCAAAGGGAACCAATCAGTACTAAATGAACTGTATGGAAAAGACTGAAACGAAAAACTGGAGACATCCAAACTCATTAGGAAACTGTTACTGAGCTCATCAACAAAGAGGTCGGCTCATTTCTCCATAAGACTCAATACTATCAGATTTCTTTTTTGCAGCCAATGGAGCTGCCCCCTGCTGGTCAGATTAAAAAAGTCTTTCATAAAGGTGTAGTAGAACACTTTAGAGGACCCTGGGGACACTAACTGATGAGCCTGACTCAACTTTATGTTTATATTTCTCCAGAAAAGTTTGTTTACAGCATTATGGAGTAAAAACCTGGCACTGGGACATCTCAACTCCTGCCTATTTGGCCACAGCAGCTGTAGTGTTTGTGAGCTCTCTTTAGGCTGCGGAGGGCACACGTCTGGCCAACTTCAACAGTGAAAAGAGCGTCTTCATTAACATGCACGGCCATCCGCTTCCTCTGAAACGGGCCTTTGTCGCCCAGCAGATGCCGGAGCACAACGAAGAGAGGCAGATCCGGATCAAAGGGGGAGCAGAGATAGATGGTATACGATCCACGATGAACGCACAGAGATACAGAGGGAGGCGTCTGGCACTTTGTTCATCTTCATCTCAGTTAGTTAACGGCTGCCTGGCAAGGGTTTGTAAATATCTCTCAACTGGAAGAAAGCCCGTAATTTATCCAATTAATAAACAGTTCAACATCTTCTGATGCATTATGCCAGGGACAGATCTTTTTCCCTCAATGGATATTGTATCATTGAGCTGTGCGTCCATTAGCTTCTGCACCTGTTAGCCTCGGCTATTCAGCAAGAGGCGTTTAAAGCACCTGGTTTTATATGTATTTTCAAATGTATGCATCAGAATAACTGAGTGCAAACGGCAAAACTTCAACACACATCGCATAAGAGAGTGTGGATAAGTAGGTGTATCAGTGGAAAGAAAATGAGACAAAGTGAATGAATGAATCAAACAAATGCTCTTTAATGATCTTCTGCAATAGTGTAACTGCGACACTGCAAAAGAGGAATCTTGTTTCTGGGAAGTGAGTTTTATTTTCTGTCTATGTATCAGAAAGGTGATCTGGTTTTAAGAAAGTGTGTCTAACTTTGTCTTAATAAGATATCACAGCTAATATTGAGCTCCATTTAACCAGTAACAACAATGGTTTGTATAATATCCCAGCAGAGGAACAAGATTATTTTATTTTAAGAGTTAAGAACACTTGCACAACAAAGCAGCTGTTTAGTTTCTCATTGTTTTAATAAAAAATGATATAAATAATAATGTTTCTGGTGCTTTAATTTAAGATAAAGTAACTTATTTCATTGTGCTGTATGAAGAAATTGTGTCTTAGATTAAGGTACAAATTCTTGTATAAATCTTATTTTAAGAAAGTCTTAAATAACTGAGTTTTCATTGCTTGTAATAAACACAACTTACTTACATTTTTGGCATCTTTCAGATTTTTATGCTAATTTTAAGAATTCTAGCTCAGAATGTTTAAGAATGTTTGGCTGGTTACCGCCACCTACTGCCAAACCCCATCAACCAATTTCTAATATCTAAATGGCGGAAACAAGCATACATTCATTTCTTTTGCTGATTTTCTGAAAATTCTGTGACAATGTATGCAGTTTACACAGTTTGCTGTCCATTAACACATTAATTGATATTAATTTAAAAAATAAAATGCTAAAAAGCGCTATAGCCACATTTTAGCCGAACAGTACCTAGTTAAAAAGAGATCAGGACAAGTCTGTAACTTACAAAACTAAGTTAGTGGGACTTAAAATTACAAGTAAAAGCTGCTTCATCAGGAATCTTTATCTTACAAAACTGAGTTTGTTACTTAAAATGTTCAATGTTATCTATCAACAGTTATTTTGAGTTAAAAGGACTGTGTGTTCATTAGGTGTGTTTGTATTTGTGTATAATCTCCTGAAATAAGAATTGTTGTGTTTTCGAGCCCTCCATGTTTCTACAGTAGCCCTGAAGGGACAAACCGGACTAACAAGTAGTTTCTACCATTACATCCTTCACACTGGACCTTTAAATAAGAATTATTTCTACCATGAATGTTTGTTTAGCTCTGCCCATTTGTGGGTTATATTGTGTCATGTCGTCCATCTTTATACATATATGTGTCTATGATTTAGCTAAAATAAGCCTCAATCTGTATCTAATATTCAGTGTATATATCACTACATACAACTTTATTTAAGCAATGGGAAATCACCTTCTCCCTGTGCTGGTATGAGCAGTTCTTGCATTAGGAGTCAGCCAATCAGTGCAGGGTTGCAGTGGAGTGAGGGGAGGTGGAAGGAGGGGATGAGCTCAGCACTGCTGCAGTATAAAGCCTGCTGACCATCCTCAGCCTCCAGCTCTCTGCACTCGCAACTCCTCCCCGAACCCACGCTGAGGTAAGGTCGGTCATCACTTCTTTATTACTACTTATAGTATTCCTAGAGATCAAACCGAGCTCAGAAAACATCACAAAGAGTAGTTTAAACACTGGGAAATGTCGATGCAGCTCTTTTTTGCAGAGTCATGCTGTAAAATAAAGATAGTCAAAATTAGTTTTATTTTTCACGAACATAACTGTGAGCTGTGGTATGCAGATTACTTTTATTCAGTTAGTTTTTATAGAATTTGTATTAAGTTTATTAATTATTTATACAAAAAATATATTTTGAATTTGGATTCCATCACTTAATCATGTAATCAATCAAGTAATTTTAATCATACTCAGGATTCAGTTTCAGTTTCATCATGTGATTTATTTCTATTAAAATCTGTAATAAATATTTATTTATTATATTTATTTATAGATTATGATTGAATCAGTTATAGATTTTAAATGTGATTTTGCAAGAGAGAAAACTGATTGAACTCTTTATAAACATCCTTTAAATAATCCAGATCAGTAATGATTTTTGTTTATTCATTTATTCTTTTTATTAAAAAAAAGGTGAAGAGCCTGATGACAATGACAAACCTGGAGACCTCGATGGCGACCATCATTGCGGTGTTTCAGAAGTACTCAGAAAGAGAAGGAGACAAACACAAACTGAAAAAGAGCGAGCTGAAGGATCTGCTTCACGACGAGCTGCCAGATCTGATGGCGGTGAGACAGAAAACACATTTAACCCCACATTAGAAGTATTAAACCCTTTATATATTAGCTCAAACATGGTGGAGTAAAGTACATTTAGTGTGGAGTTTAGTTAAACTTATCACTGTTCTGGGGATGTTGTTAAAGTAAAGAACTTTTATATTGCTCTTAAGTACAGTTCTGACGTACTTTATCATTTCATTCATGAACAAAGATTGTAAAAGTTTCACTGCACAAACTTTATTTGATGTCTGTTTGTTTCATTCAAAACAGATGATCAGAATTTCAAGTTGTTCAAATTAGATCCATAAATGTGAAGTGTTTCAGTTATTAACAGATTCTCATATTCAGCATTAACCAGCTGCTCATTAGTATCTTTATTAGTCATTATAAAGCTTTACCTCAATAACCTCCTAATTACTGCTCATTGATATTAAGTAAGAGGTTTTTGGACATGGATTAATATGCTTTGCTCAATAAGAGCCTTATAAAGGTGGTATTAGCACATAGCTTCATTGCTGTGAATAGTCCAAATAAATCTAAGTTTTTATAACCTGTGCTGCGCATTAAGACAATAATATATAAATATATAATATGACTTCCCCCACTTGTAGTGTAAGTTATTAATAATAATAAGTAATATTACAGATATTAGTTAGAAATGATTAATAGGGAACTGAATTAAAAATCAACAATTCAATCACATCCTTGGATTAATTTTTGATTTGAACAAAAACTGGTTTTTAATAGTTATAAGTCTAAATTTTGGAGAGAAATGAAACAATTATACATTTTGTGGGGAGCAGCGTAAACATAATATAATTAGCAGTGTAACTTATTACTTTTGGCAGGGAGTAAAAAGTAATATTACTTTTGAAACAAGTAATAAATAACATCTCACATTTGACATTCTGTGTTTTGTTACATAAAAATAGATCATATTATTATAAAGTGTTATTAACCCTTTAAACTCCACCACTGCCTACATTGGTACTTTTACATATTCTGATGTCATTTCCCTAAAATCTGTAAAACAAAAGCTTAAAAAGAGTTTAAACATTTTTGAGATACGCTAACGTAACGTAGTGACGTAGTCCAGAGCGCACAATGTGATAATAATGCAAAAAACACCAATAATAAGAAGTAATAAGGAGGTTATTGAGGGGAAACTCTTTAAGATAATGGCATAATAGTGGCATTAATAATATAAAGTCGTACTATTATGTTCTGGAAGTTATTGAATCAGTCATTTAAATCCAGCTCTACTGTCACATTAAATTCATTGTCTCGGGTTGTGTGCGACCTGATGTGAACTCTCCCCCCCCATAGCATGTGAAAGACCAGGCCACACTTGACAGCCTGATGGAGAGCCTGGACACGGACGGCGACGCCGAGTGCGACTTCCAGGAGTTCATGACATTCATCTCCGTGGTTACCGTCTGTTGCCACGAGTTCTTCGAGCACGAGGACGAGTGAGGAGGAGGCGAGGGCAGGGAGACAGAACAGGGGGAGCTACAGTAAATTATAAAAGAAGAAGAAGAGGAAGAAGAAGAAGCCTAGCAACGCACAACCTGTTGGTGCCCTCAGAGCAGAGCATGCTGGGAAAAAACAACTCCAGCCAGCAGCCAAAACACTATTGGTGAGGTTTGGCTGGTGGTTTCTAGTTGTTACTTTAGCTTAAAATCAGATTTTAAAAAGATCCTGTTCTTCTCTATTTGATTCTAAATACCTACATGGCTTGTAAAGTCTTCAAAATGGCTACAGAGTTTGTTGTTGTTTGCCTACATTACACATAATAATCATTTGGGAGGTACTTTTTTTAAACTGTTGTTAAGATTGTGGCTGGTATAGCACAGCACCTAAAAACATCGGCTAGTTAAAGTTCCCAAATGGCTCGTGAATTGTAGCCAATTTAGAAGCCACAAAGTCTTAAAAATGGCTCTGAGATTTTGGTGTAACAAATCTAGACAAGTCTCTCTAAAAGTCTGCAGAAAATGGACAATTTCTGATCTTTTTAGTAGCTTCCTCAGCATAATGCCCTTCTATAAGTCAAGCTGTTCGGTATTGTGACCAACTTTGGCTCCCAAGTTCCTAAAATAGGCAATCAGTAATTTAAGGTTCTTCTGTTCAAAGTCTAAAGGTCCAGTAATGTTGTAAAAATGACCGGTAAGTTCATCTCATCCAATACTGAAAGGGCCTTGTAGGTTTTAAAAACATCGGCTAGATAAAGTTTCACTACTAAAATATCAACAAAAAAAACAGCTTTGAGAGATTTTGAGTTGTAAAAAATGTTCATCTACACTTAATAATAATTCTGTGGCTGGTGTATTTCAGATGTGGCCGGTAAGTTTGTCACCAATCATTTTGAGTGTTATATTTAGAAGCCAGTAAAACACTTTTATCAACTCCAGCAGCAGCCAACTTCTCACAGGCGCCTGGGTTTAAAAAGTCTTGTCGACTATCAATTATTGAAAGTGAATTCTAGTAAAGTTGCTCATAATAAAAAAACAATGAATTGGCTAGTAAAAGTTTTAAAATGGCTTTTGAGTTTCAGCTAATCAAGAAGCGACAATTTAGAACTTTAACAACTTTTCAGACACTTTTTTTAAAATCTAGCTGACTATCAAATATTTTAAGTGACTTGTAAGTTGGTCGTTTGATTGGCTAGTAAAAGTTTAAAAATGGCTTCATCTACAAGCCACAGTTTTTAAGAAATCTACTAAACTGTTAAAAATGTAAAGTGACTGTTAACTTAGTCAAGTTAAACATGTTGAATTGGCTAGTTTTTGTTTATTCTAGCTGTCGGTTTGGTAGAAAAACAACAATAATTTGGAGATTTATTGTCAAATAAAAACTCTGGGCCCATCAAAGTGGCTGACAAGTTGTTTAGAAGCTCTTTCTACTTCATATTTAGGTAGTTGGTAAACAAGGCAACAATTGTTTGAGTCATAATACATTCTGAATGTCTAGCTGGCTGCTGAAATAATCATAAAACTTTAGGAGTTAGTAGCCGCTATTGTCTGCAGAGTTCTTTAGTTTCACTCTTCGTGCAAAGGAAACGTGTGATCGGTTTAAATCAGCTGGAACAGAAGAGTTCGTCTGACGATGTGTGTTCTGAAACGTTGAGCACTGGTTAGTTTGGATGTTGGATATGAAATAAACGATCAACGTGTGACTCTGAGTTTGTTTTTGTGGGAGCGATCAGACGATGAAAGGATTCACTGAGGATGCCTGAGATGTGACTTTCTCACGTGTCTCATCAATTTAAAACCTAAACCTTATTTAATTACAACAAAACACAACTTAATAATGGCAAAGGTCCAAGAATTAATAAGAAGAGATTTACGGCCTTTATTTGATGTTTGATGATATAAAAATGCAACTGATGTTTATATTTATTGAACTTTCTTATAGTACTTAAATGTTGAAGAGGCCCCTCCCTGGCCCCAGTGTGAGACTCCGGATTTAGAGCATGAGTCCTCTTTCACGCTAGATGAACTTGTTTTTTGTTTGTTTGTAAAAATATTAATAGAAAGTTCCTCAACTATGAAGCAGCAGCTGTTTATAGTAGTGGTACACATTCCACAGACATCACTTGACAAGTACTTTAACAATGAAAAAATGCCTCTTCAATAACAAACAAATGTTTCTTTATTAAAGGTTAAAGTAACGGGTAAACCTTAATGGACCTTTTTTAATCACTGAGTAAACAGACGATCCCTCAAGTATTGTATGGATATTTCATATTATATTCACCAGCTGATACAGGATGAGGTTGTTTCTGAGACTGAAGCTCTGTGAATATAGTTTGTGTTCAGGTCTTATCTTAAATAACAATGAAACCTTTAAAAATAACATTTT